GAGGAGAAAAATGTAGAAGCCTGCTACTTAGACATCTGTAAAGCACTTGACTCTGTCAACCATCTCATTTTATAAATCGATTGTGCGCCCACACATGTAACATTGTGTGCAGGGATGGGCGCCGTATTACAGGAGGGATGTAACGTGCTTAGAGCGAGTGCAACGCCTAGCCACCCGAATGGTGACTGGGCAAAAGGGGAAAAGCTATGAGCAGCGGTTACGAGTTCTAAATCTCTTTTCGCTGGAGAGTAGACGAATGAGGGAAGATCTGATAGAGACTTAAAATTTTAAGAGGTCTATCGGAACTCAACCTAGAGGACTTGTTTACGATTTCTCGTGCTCAAAACACGAGAGGTCATGGCTATAAACTTCAACAGAACCACGCCAGGTTAGAAGTACGGGCCAACTTCTTTGCACACAAGGTCATACCTATGTGGAATAGGTTACCCGCAGAAGTGGTCAACTGCGCCAATGTTAACACCTTCAAGGTGGCACTGGATGCATGTTAGTCAGAAACGTTCCCCGAAGTTAGTACTTAGAATGGGAACGTTAAGAGTAAATTCTACTTTGGCCAGAAGTTGTGAAATGATATAAACTTGGGTTTGAGTGTTGGAATTATTCTAAAACCTGACTATCCTGTCACCTGTAAGCTGTGAATAATAATGCATTCGTTTAACGTTTTACAACGGTGAAGCGAGGAGATATCCCTGCTCTTACACCTTATACATTGCGTAATCTCGATTGAGCTGTTTGTAACATATTTAGTAATCTTCGTTTTGTCTTCGCCTTTTTAACATGCCACGTGTGTTTTATCCGTGCCTGAATGTGTCGTGTGTTGGACTGGTGTTCACAGGTACAGAATGCATCGAATGCGAGCCTTGAACACACAAAACTTGCTCGAAGCTCTCAAGCGAGCTATTCAAACACTTACAGCACCTAAGTAGATCTTCTGTGGATCTGCCAAGGATTGCGAGAGATTGCAAAATTTGCATAAAAAGGCAGCCGGAATTCTTCGGATAATGGTGGGGACATGCAAGTCCAAACGCTACGCGTAGGGGAGNGGCGAGTCGTCACTGAAATCACCACCGGGTCAACCAACCAACGATACTCAGAAAACACCACCCAACCATAAAGGTAAATCGTCGCTTCTGAGGAGCCCTTTGAAACACTCGACACCCAAGACCCACAGTGCGAGTCCAAGATAGACTCGCATTAGCAATCATCCTGAACCAGCCGTGCCCCGAACCAAGCAGAGTATACAAGAGACGACACAGAGTCACTCGACAGTTGTCCCTCAGAACCAAACTGTTATGGAAAAACAAAACAACAGTTCAATAAAATGAACCGCGCCTGTTTCAACGCATCGGCTGACTCAACGTGCTGAACAATTCAATAGAAACAAGACAAATCCTAACGAGCTCGGGGAAAACAGAGGAAACCCAAAACCCAAAAAGGACAGCCGCAAAGTAAATCGGCAACCCACAGGTTTTCAGCCGGGTGCTCCCCTGATAGTTTCAAAGCAGCCATCTCTTGACTCGAGAAACAAGAAGTTAGAACTGAGAACTTGGCTCGCCACATGAAAAGGCAACTCATGGAGATCCAGTGGCTCCACGCGTTTTATGAGACCACCTTAGGCAGGACGCGCAACGTGATAATCCACGCTCCAGAGCCATTTATCTCCAACATCGCTCAACGGATGGCCGCAGAGAAAACACTCATTCTGAGTGTGCTGCGCAACGCCGGTTGTCAGCCCAAAATGACTTGGAAACGAGCACACAGGTTGGGAAAATGGGTCCCACCAAAACAGAATGGCCTCCCTGCCAGTCAACCGCTGCTCGTGGAGCTCCACAGTGCAAAAAACGACACTTTCTCCTATCTAATGCGTCAATCATCGCGAGCACCATGACCAACATCAAATTCGGGGCAGGCAACCGCACCTGTAAAGCGGTCATCTCGCGTCCTCACTACCCCCTGGACGTCCCGGTAGTAAAGTCCGAGAAAATCCCACGACATCTGCAAAGAACCCGGTCCCTGGACCACATTCCAGTAAATGGAGAATCTCCCACCAGGATTACTCCACCGACACAGCGACCACCAAACAGCGCACCCACCCACAAATCCTCTCCTGTGTGCTGATAAACGTTTGCAGCATCCTACACAAGAGAGACGAGGTGACTGATACTCTCGGCACCGTTGATCTGTGCATCCTCACGGAAACGTGGTTGCGCGAGGAAATCGAAATCGGTGACTGGAGCCGCAATTTTAATCATTACCGCTCCGACCGTATTAACTCACTTGGTGGAGGTTGCTTGCTACTAGTGCGGCAAGTGATCCGTCAGTCAGCGATGCATTTCATGGCTAGCTCAACAAACATTCAATCAGCAGCCT